GCTGCAGCAGGCCTGGTTTCAAGCTGGATGTAAACTTTTGATCTATCCTATATAAACTTAGATGACACTTAAAGTAGTTATTTAAGAGGGGAAAGCACATTCAGGATATGTTTACAAGGCAGCTATGTTAGTGACTCGGTTAGGTCACATAGTAGGAACAGTCTGTCTATGGTACGATACAGCGTGCTGCAGCTTACCCAGCCAGTAATCTTCATGCTATTTTGAGGGTTGCTTCTGCAGCCAGCTGAGTTCAATGCTGCTGGGCCAGGTCTCCTACCCGCATGCAGGAGAACACACTCTGTCTCACCCCCATCAATGAAAAGACATTTATCCATCTAGATGTGTATAGACCCTAAAGAATAGGCATAAATTAACGCCTAGACCCATAGAAAAATTTCTGTCTTACCAACGCAAAGAAGAGCCCAAATGCAAACAAGAATTGGGTGTTTCTAGTCAAATGGCTCGTGGGAGGGAAAATATGCTTGCTTCTGCTTTCCTGCAGAGAGGATCATGGCTTAAGAAAAAGTCTCAGAAAGAAAAGCTTTTATCTTTGCTCCTTTTATAGATGTTACTTCTGAGTGTCAAATACACATTCAGATATTTCATGTGATTTTTCAGGTCACTGCCAAAAGACAAAATAAATAGGGAATAATTTTCTGAAAGAAGCAGGTAACAAAAAGGCGTCTTACGCACTGACCTACCATTTGCTAGCAGTTTATAGGAGCTCTCCATGATGATGAGTGGAGAGGCCTGTTCTCACGGCTGTAGTAAATGATCATCTATAAATAGCTGGAAACAGCTTATCAGGGCTGACAGGCTCTTCTCAAAAGAAAGTTTGGCCTGGCTGGATTACCTTAGATCACAAAAATAGCACCTGTAGGTAACAGGTGTCTTGGTGGCTTATCTGCAACCTGCTGCCCCCTGAATAAAAACAGGTTTTCTTGTATTAGGGCAATGTCATAATGTTTCCTCACTTTCAGATGTATTTTTCTACCAAAAAAAAAAAAATTAAATAGAAGGGAACTATGCATATAGCAATAACAAACAAAGAAAGCAGAAGGTCCATGGACCCTCTTCCTCTTTGAAACCTGGTATCTGCCATGGAAAAAAAAATCCTAGGATCACATCAGTTTATGTCAAACAATGTGACAACAGAGTGCTCAGTTGTGCACAGAGAACCCATGGAGTACACAGTACACCAGTAAGATACATATCTGCTAATAAGGGCAACAATAGCCCCCCTGCATTCATCTGTCAACAAATCAGCCTTCCCCAGGTCTGCAGTCACGTGCATTTTTGGGATGTGCATTTGTGTAGCAGAGACCACCTACTCACAACACCAGCTTTTTCTAAAGTAATTTCCTGCAGCTTGCAGAACATTTTGTTAAACTTTTTAACGTGTAAAATGATCCGGCACTATTCCTTGCTACCTTTTAGGGACAATTATTGCTGGCTTTTCTAGTCCTTGTTAGAATGAGAATTGAAGTAGGATCAGGTTTCGCGAATTGTCACTGAGCAAGAGTGGAACCTGAATAGTTCACTGCCAGCCCAAGAGCTCTGTTAAATTATTTGAGACTTAGGGTGTGTTTCAGTGAAACCCAACTAACATCCTCTGAGAAACTCTATCTTTTTTTCAGTTAAAATACAGCATCTTCCCAGAAACCAAGCAGTCAGAAGTCTGAGAGTGGAGAGTAGAGCGATGTGTGTTTTCTCAGTGTCATGGCACCTCACCCAAGGGCCACCCTTCCCCAGAGGGGGTCTTCCTTTGCTAACCCCACTGTGTCTTTCCATCCCTGTGCCTTACACTTACACTGGTTTTCAAAGAGGAAGCAGGGTGGGGAGAGAGTGGTAAACAGAAAGAAAGAAAAACGGACTGCAAATCCCCTCCACACCAAAAAGAATGGCCTTTCTAATTACAGTAATTACCATTTGCAACGTCTCACTTTTCATGGGAAGGTATTTCAACCCTTGTGGTCTCCTCTGAGGTAAGAGGCGTTCCTGCTGCTTGCAGAGGAGGAAGCCAAGACACAGTGATTAAGCCTGCAGCACTGCATGAAGCATCCCCACAGGAGCTGGTGATCTCTTGTGAAATCAGAGCAACCCAGGCTGGCACAATGTCCACAATGCCTTACCGGCCGTGAGATCTTCCTTTGACAGCATCCAGGACTTTGCAGAACAGGGCTGAAATTGTAAGCCAATTCAATCACTAAAAGCAACAGTAAAATCTGGAGTTCCTAACAATTGCAGGGTTTATTCTTTCGTTGGTTTTTCACTGTATTTCTTTTTACAGGGATTTGCTGCCCTTCACCCTGAAGCTGCCACAAGCAATATTAGAAGCCAGTAGCTTTCAAGACCTTGAAATTATCTCTGGTCTGGGGTTAGGTAAGTCCTTCAAAGCAGCCAGTTTCGCTCAGACTTGTGAGAACCATGGTGCCTTGCAACAGGAGGATGGAGGATAGATGAACTATTGTCTTCAGAACAGCTGACGAGGCCTGAATGCAAGAGAGAAGATATTTATGATCTTTATGTTTATAGAAGCACATTGGAAAAAAGGTCACATGCCCCTTTGGACATAAACCTCCACTTGGACTCCTGTGCAGAGCATGGCACCCATAGCCTCACTGTATAAGCTGGGGTTTTCAACAACTGAAGCTCAGCACAGCCTCTTAAGATAGCTCACATGTACCAGAAGTAGTTGGCATCTGATGTATATGAAAAGAGGAAAACACCTTTGCAATTTCCCCTTCTGATGTGTGGGGGCAATGCTGATGGAGTGTGATATTTTTGAATTTTGATATTTCTGCTTCTTGCAGGATTTCTAGTTGGTAGAGAAATGTGTAATGTCCCAGCATGTTCTCTCACCTCACACTAATCAGATACAAAAAGGAATGTTATTTTTCACGATAGCACCAAACGAGAAAATTTTATATCAGATGTATAAAATTACAGAGTTGGGAAATGCAGTTCTGTTCACTAAAGGAGGTCTCCTTCTTATTCCTTCCCATTTCACACACTCCACTCAAGACAGCTATTACGGATAGCCACTCTCATGCTACTTTGCTTTTCAGTTTTTGCTCAGCTGCTGAAAACAGCCAAACAATGGTGAAAGCTGAAAAGTTAGCTCACTTAGAGATGCTCTCTAGAGCACCCTGGGGCTTTATGGATCTATTTTTGGATCTTCTGCATTATACCTCCCAGAAAGCATGGGCAAACCCCGTTGGTTTCAGTTCAGGCAGCTTTGTTGAGTTTTACCATCAGATTGCCTTTAACACTTTGAACATGTTCAAATTCGTCAAAGCATCCTTGATTATGGGTGTCCAGCCAGAACTTCTTGCTTAAAGAAAGATACTTTGCAACTTGAAATAGCAAGCTGCAAACTTATTATTAATTTTATTATAATAAGTGTAGAAATTTGGATTAAAATGTAAGAAGTGTATTATGATTCTCCAACCTTTGGTCTAATTTGAGCCAGCAGAGGAGATCTTGACTCAGGCAACAGTTTCCAGCAACTTCTGAAAGGAAGGATTAACTAAAGTATAAGCACCAAAGCAACGTTGGTTATAGTCTCCCTTCTCTCCTGTACACTGGTGGTCATAAAAGTGGTGATGCTTGGAGGTTTGCTTGTCACAGTATATTGCATGCCAGGGTAGTTTCTGGCAACAGAAGAAAACCTGCTGTTGTGTAAAGGTTTCCTGGGAAATGATCCTAGCTTCTTGGAGTGCCATGCTGTCTCAGTAAAGTCAAACAAGCTGAAGTAATGAGTAATGCTGCTTGCTGCTTCCTTAAACAAAATGTCGTGGGTACAAATGGGTACACAAACAATAAGTGCTGCCTGAAGTGGCACTCCCAAAGGAAAGACAGCATTGTTTGAAATTCTTGTATGTTGCTTTCTATTTTTCTGAAAGTCATATGTTTTTTGAGGGGGTAGAAGTAAGATGTCTACCTGCAAGCTGGTTTATTCCACAAAGTATATGGCTGTTACGTATATAGTCAAAGAGTATGTACTGCAGTCCCTCTAGTCCTGACCTTGCTGGTACAGAAAGCATTTTAGCAGAAGAACTAGTGTGATTGCACTGCACAAAGAGCACATACCATCACAGGCATGCAAAAGTCTCAAAGAACTGCTTAATTATCCCTCCCAGAGTGTAAGCTAAGGGAAGATCCAGGACAACAATGCGAGACGATCAAACTGCCTTTCCTGCTGTACAAGACAGTGTGGCTGGGCTGGGAACCACCCCTTCTGGAGCAGTTGTGTAACCCTTGGTAGGACCACCTCATCTGGTCCTTCACAGTCTGAGTGTAGCATTGCATTTTCATCACAGTGTCTTATCCTGACCACTACTGAGAAAAATAACCAACTTCCCTTTTGTGGATTGGTTTACTCACCATTTCCTCAGCCCATGAAACTCCACAGCATTATATGCTGACTTAAACAAGCAACTTCCACTGTCCTGCATTTGCTGATGCCCCTTAGGGTTGGAGTGTTTAAAGGAAATCATACCCCAGATAGTCTCAGACATGAGGAGTTGGCAGCGCAATGCTATTACATGCAGTTGCATCTGCACATCTCCTACTCAATTCTATTGTCAAGAGTGCTGCTGTTCCAGGCAACACTTTTATTTTAAGCTTTTTTATTCCCCTCCCTCTCATGGTAGGATAAAGCTGTTCTAACCTCAGTCTCCCTAAGAAAACATGCTGACATGCTTATAAAGCCAAATTAGTCATGGACACAAGCCTAGGCTGTGAGAGGCTAAATTGGAAATTTTATCCTGATGGGAATGTACAGTCTTTTAGTTTGCCTGTGCATGGCTCTCTGTGCCTACTTTACAGAACTGCTTGGTTAGAGGGAAAGGAGAGGCAGCAAGGAGGAGACAGCCTGCCTATCCTGCCCTGCCTGCAGCAGTTGCCCCCGCTGGAGGGAAGGGAAGGGAACAGTCCCTGTCCCTGGGGCAGCTGACTGTGGCCCAGGGGACCACATCGCTGGCAAGGCCAGCAGTGGGCTCAGGGCACTGAGGGGGAAAGGCAGAGCCCTGCAGAGGGCAGGTCACGGTGGCAGCAGGAAGAAGATGGCTTTTCCAGCACTGGCATGGAGCCCGCTGCAAGCAGGAAGACATCAAAAGTCACGACTGCACCGGAGAGCAAAACGGGAAGAAGTGGCCTGCCTTTGGGGATGCAGTGGGCAAGGGAGAGATTTCATCTGAATGTGTTTCACCCCCAAGTTCTGTGTTGGCTTTAGTTGCAGAGTCTCTTTGCTCTGTTTAGAGTTCTGCTATGACCTTCCTAACTGGAAGTCTCTTTGAGCTTTTCTGGAGTGATGGTTGTTAGGAAGAGGCACAGGCAAACCCTGCTCAAGGCTCTGGCCAGCTCAGCCCTGCGCCTCCTTCCCTGTGATGGGCTGGGCGCTACGCTGGTGCAACTGGCAGAACAGGGCGCTGGCAAGGCACTGCTGAATGCCCCATCCTGAGAGCTGCACCATCTGCTCGGCACTGAGGGTCATCTCTCACACGTGTGCAGCCCCATCCACCCCCTCCTGGGCCCGGCACATGGTGCTTTGCAGTGGGACAGGCTTGACACCAAGCACAGGGCAGGGTTCAGGCACTGTGTGGCAGCCCTGTTTGCGTCCTCTGCAAGTCTACCCGGAAGAGCATACCATCAGTGTCAGCCCTGTGTCCAGGGACCAAGCATGCTGAAACAGTTATTTAGTTATCTGCATCCTTGTGTTTCCAGGATTTCACATCTTCCCCTTGTCCCTAAATCTGTGGGCAACTATACAGTCCTCACACAGTGAACATCCTCAGCAGTTTATACCCTTTTCCTTGGTCAGAACACATGGGGTTTGCAGGATCCTCTTTCCTGATGCTTCCAATTTAGCAGCTCTAAGAGCGATTAAAAGCAATCAGACTAGTAAGGCAAGCACGTTTGAAAACTCTCCTCTGAGGGAAGGGAAAAAGGTTAAATGTGGTACTGAATCTATACAAAATATGTATAAACCCTTCATAACTTTTTTAAAAACAAGTTATTCAAAGACAAATTCTAAGTGGTTTGTGACATGCAGAAAGGACTACTTGCATTTGAAATACCATCTTCCTTTTCGAGTCAGAGTTGATGGCACTGAAGTACTTAACTATTCTTTAGTCCTTCAGTATACAACCTTCCTGTGTATACAGTCTTTTGCACCACCTTTCCTCTCTTACACTTGCAGCCAGGCAGTCCCAAGGCAAGGTGCAAAACAAAGCATGGGCATGGCTATGGACAATCATCATCCAGAGCTACAGACTTTAATGATAATTTTAATCTCTGAGAGGTATTTAAAACCATATGTTTCCAGACCGATTGTACTGCAAAGCAGGATCAGACCTCTGTGTAGAACAGACTCTGCCACACGAGTTTGGATGGTAGAGTCATCTTCATCTGATGTCTCTTATGCTTCCGGTGCACGTTGGATCCAGGCTGTATATCTCAGCCCTGCAGCTTCCCATGGTCAGCAAGAGGGAGACAGAACTCACCTGGGGTCTTGACACCCTCCCCTCAGGTATCCACAGCTATTTGTATTTGGAGGGCAGTGATCATTGAACAAGGTGATCCATAGACCCCTTTTCACAACCATCCACATTTGTTATTTGTACCTTCCTGCTCACACTGCACAAACGGCACAGCATTAACAGGTTTCATTAGATGAGTGTCCTAAAACTGGCAAGAAAGAGGTTTCTGGTGAAGCTTGTCCCCTGGTTTGAAGCATTTCACACACATAAAACAGGCAACCCTTTCTTCGCACTGCAGAGGTGTGAAAGCTTGTGATGATTTCTTTTAACAAAAAGTAGGAATTCTACATACTGATAGCCACTAAAATTCTCTCAGAGCATTTTTTCATTCTTCTTTCTTTCTTTCTTTCTTTGGACAGATTTCTGGGACTCATCCTTAAACCACAGAAGAAGAGGAGAGGAGTTATCGCACCCTGCAAAAGACTCTGCTTCCAGCACTGTCCAGGCAGACTGTTTAAGATCTACCCAGTGTTTTGCAAGTAGCACAAACCACTGCTCATGTGAAATTGAGCTGTCAATAGGAAATGACAGGCTGTGGTTCGTGAATCCTATTTTTATAGAAGAGTGCAGTAATCCTTTTCCTCCAGATGTACCTCCTCCTAAAAGCCATGCTGTGAGCGCCAATCTCCCCCCTGCCACCGCGCTTGCTGAAAGGAAGTCTCCCCGCCGCCCCCCTCCACCTCCACCTTCTCACACTCTCGTTCAGAAATCTTCTCTGAAGCTCCTGCAGGATCCCATGACTGCCTGTGAAAACAACCTGCTTCTTCAGCCACTAGGAAAGAGCATCAAGGAAATGAAAATTGAGGGTGGTGACAATAAAGAAGAAGAAGGAAAGCAGAGCTGCTCAGTCAATGAACCCTTGGCAGTGAGCCCCAAGAAGGGCTCCCAGCCCTCTGTGCCCCCACGGAGGCGGCTGAGCGAGAGGACCTCAGAGGAGAGCTGTGCGGGTAAGCCTGGAAGTTGTGAAACACCGAAAAGGGAACAGACAGGAGAAAAACAAGACACAAGTACAGAAAGCGAAGATAAAAGGTTGCTGTGCAAAAAGGCTGTAGAAATGCCTGGGGAGGTTCCCAAAAGGGCTGTATCACAGTTTCAGGAGACAAAGCCTGAACCTGCAGAGAAGAAGGAGGACATGCCTGAGATACAAAGCCACGCCATTGAGAAAGGAAAGTCACCTCCTATTCCACCACCGAGAAGGAAGAGGCTTTCCCAGGCACCGAGGATCCCCAGCTCCTGCCAGTTGAAGCAAAGAACAGTGGCAGAGACAGCCACAGCCACGGCACAGGCTTTGTGCAAGAGCAGCTCAGCTACAGCGGCAGGTGGTGCCACCTGCACAGACAGCAAGAATGAACCAGGACATGGCCGCAAATCTGTCAGCTCAGCCGAACTGAAAGGTTCGCACTCTTCCCTTGAGGGCCCGGGAGGCAGCACCATGGCTCAGGCATCAGCGTCCGAGCCAGACTCCTACTCCACCAGCAGCACAGAGGATGATCTGGAGATGCTGAATAGTTCCTCCAGTAAAAAGACACACTCCGCAATCTTGGGCAAGGCCAAGAACAGGCTGTCCTTTGTGAGCCTCTCCAATGTCTTCACAGTCTTTTTGTCTAGTGACAGGAAGCTGCAGAAGAAGATAGTGGAGCTGGCACAGGACAAGGATTCGTACTTTGGCAACCTGGTGCGGGACTACAGGGTGTACAGTTTAGAGATGATGGCAAAGCAGAGCTCCAGCACAGAGATGCTACAAGAAATCCGGATGATGATGACACAGCTGAAGAGTTACTTAGTGCAGAGCACTGAGTTGAAATCTCTGATAGACCCAGCCTTCTACACCGAGGAACAGTTAGGTAGGTGACTGTGCTTTACTCATCCTTTGCGAAAGTGAGGAGGAAGACAGGATTATGCAGACATAGGTTCTGCTTTACAGAATTACAAACCATCTCCTAAAAGCTTAGGGGTGCAAAGTGAAGTCTGCTCTGTGGTTGCCAGCACTTGGAGGAGCAGCTCTAAAAACTGGGAGACCAATGAGGGAGAAAATCCCATTACGAATGTTTTAAAGGGAAGAGTTTAAGCAGAAGAGATGTGTGTTTGTGTGAGACAGACATATATGTATGTATATACGTATATGCATATGCACACATGCAAATATGAGAGAGTGCGTGTGTGTGTGTGTATATATATCTGTGTGTATATATATATGTATCTGTACACATAGGCACACACGCACAGAGCTGTGTTCGCTGGAAACACAAAAGGCCAACTGTGGAAACACAAAAGGCCCCTGCACAACTGTGTTCCCCATGGCCTTCCACATCCACTGCCCCATGCTCTTCAGTGAGGGTGGAGAACTCCCTGCACATGGCAGCCAGATCAGGGGTCAGTCACTGTCTCACAAGAAGGGACAGGACTATGACGTTTTGAATGGCAGGTTGGAGGAATCACTTGATCCCACTCTGTGCTCCTCAGAGCTCAGTGGTGTGGAAGAGCTGCCTGCTGCAGGACCACTGCGGGCTCCAAAATGCAGCATTCACCTCTCTTTGCCACAGACACAGCTTGCCTTCGGGGAGGAAAAAATAATATTTTGGACTTCTTAGGGGTGTTTTGTTGCTTCTCATTCAATACTCTATGAGGGAGTAATGTGCTGCTTCACTCCTTGCTAGGAAATGGACTGGCCTGTTTAGTGGACATTCACGAGGGAGTATAAAGGGCTGTAGGACTTTTTATCCCAGTCAAAGCTATACAGCCAGAAAAAGCGTGCATGAATGCATTCACATGCTCTTTTGCCTAAAACCTGTTTCTTGAGGACCTGAGAACCAATGCAGAGCTATGTAGGAGATCCCTAAGGTGGCTCAAAGCAAGCTGGGAGCTGGAAGACCCCCAACACAGAACATGGCCAACCACAGAAGTGACCAGGGATTCCAGGGGATTCTGCAGCTCCAGTATTATGTGGGACCCAGCTAAGTGGTGAGCCAGGACCCAGAGGCACTCAGCTGTCAGTCTCAGCAGGCCCTGCTGACTTCTTTGTCAATCAGCAAACACTTCACATGGTCCTGCAGTCTCCCCAGCAGAACCTACCTGCTGCCAGCCCCTACCTGCTGCCAGCCCCTTGACGTAGCTAAGAGAGGGGAGATATAGTTTCACTTCTCATGCACCTCATGTAACACCTGCACTTTTTGTCCCAATAACCCCTTTCTTCGAGGCAGAGGGTTCGTCAGCACAGAGAATTCTGTCTTGAATCTTGATTAAGGAAGGTGGAGAGGAGATGGAAAGAAGAAGTGGTTTTGTTCTGCTTGTATGTATATATACATATGTGTACACATGTGTACAAGGATCCCCCCACCTTCACACAGACATGCCTGGTTAGATCCAGCCCTGTTCACTGGCAGTTCCTTAACAGGATGATATGGCCCAGCCAGCCTAGGGAGGACTGTCTTCTCCTCTGGAGGACAGGGATTCCCACCGTGGAAGATTTACCATTTGAATTAGTCCTGCTTCAGGCTGACTGATTCTCTGGATTCTTTAGAATAGTTGGATTTTGTATACATAAATGTTACTGCCCTCTGTTTCATTCCTACTGTCTGAGTGGATAAACTCTTTTGCCAGTGACCTTTTTGCCCCAGTGCAGGGGTGAAAAGATGATCCCTTGCAGTCCCTCTAGCTCTGCCTCTGGTTTCTAGGAGTCAGACAAGACTTTTTCACAGTCTGTCATGTTTCGTTTTGCCTCCTGCTAAATATTAGGCAAACGCTCAACCCACACAGACTATTTCCTCATCCACAGGTGGCATAAGAGGTGACTTAAGCATCAATAAGTTAAGAGTCACTTGAGCCGTAAGGGTGAGAAGCTTCTGACCAGATGTTGGTGTCTGCCTCTGAGCTGGTGGCTACAGCGCCTTTTCAGTCACTGTGGATAAAGGGGCACTTTGAGAAGGCAATTAATCTCATCCCAAAGCTAGTATCTCAAACAGGTCAGAGGGATGTATCAGAAGGGACATGAGATGAATCCCGCCTGGGCATCTGTAAGGGCAGGGCTGTGAAAAGAAGGACAGTTAGGTGAGGTTTTTATCTCTTCCCAGAGTTGGATTTCCTGCGGCCCGACTCCATGCTGGTCAGCCAGGAGTCAGGCAAAGACAGCAGGGGCTGCTGGTAGCAGGTAGCTACCTGCTGTAGCTCCAGTGCCAGAGGTCACACACTGATGTTCATCTCAAGACCATCCAGGACTTCTGGAGGGTGTTGGTAATGAAACATTTACTTTCTGGGCTGTGATTTCTGTTCCCTGCTCACAGCTATGCAGTAGTACCTGAATAAAACCAACCACATGCTTTCTTAGGAGTTTTACGTGCACCTGTACTACTGTGTTGATTATTTATCATGGACTTTCATGTTCTCCCTTCTCTATGCAGAAGTGATTGCTGAGACGGCTTTGTACAAATGTGTCCTGAAACCTTTAAAAGAAGCCATTGATTCTTACTTAAAAGAAATCCACAACAAAGACGGATCTTTTCAGCAGCTAAAAGAGAACCAACTTGTGATACAAAACACAACTACCACTGACCTAGGCATCACGACCAGCGTGCCTGAAACAGTTGTGCTGGAAAAGATCCTTCACAAGTTCACAACCATGCACAAGGCGTACTCCCCAGAAAAGAAGATTGCCATCTTGCTGAAGTCCTGCAAACTCATCTATGACTCCATGGCTCAGGGAAATCCAGGTACAGCACTCCTACTGGAATGGTATCCCTCACTGGTCCTTCTCCATGTATCAAAGCAACAGGGTTTATGATAAGGTTGATTTGGTAATATTCAAATTGGAAGTGACAGTGATGGTCAGTGTGTTTGGTATCAGCTGTCCACAGGTTGTGTTCAGAACGGGCTGGTTAGTGACTGTGGAGTTCTCTGCTTTAATGACAGGTATAAGATGTTACCTGGTTAATCTTAAGCTCTATAACTCCAAAAACCAAAAGCCTGCAAGTGTGTGTTTTATGGGTAATGTCCCTTTTGCACAGATCACACAGCTCTCCATAAAACCTCAGAGCTCTGTCCCAGCTTGTAGAGGCTTAATCGTAAATTCTAGGAATGGGTCTTTGAGAAGTCTCTTGATTTGGCTTTTACAATGTTTTGCCTAAACTGACGAGGAGATGCAGAATGCTAGTACTGTTTGTTACTAATTCCTGAGACTCCAGTAAATTCCAAAAGACACTGCTACACTTCTTCAGTGTGAGGAAGTATGTGCTCTGAGCATAAATATAGCTTGGGCCTTAGGCCAACAACTAAATGCACACATTAAGCCCTTGGCCTGCAGACAGGATGCATTTTTGCAGATAGATCAGGAAGCCCCTTCCTCCAGGAATCTGCCTTGGCAGTTTAAGAACTTTCTTTGTATACTGGTGAGCTGATGACCAGCCATGCATAAATTTGTAGAAAAGCCAGATATTAATTTGCAACAACCTGCGATTGTTCAAGAACTCACAATCTCCAAAGGTGCTTTTAGATGTTCTGCTTTTTTTTTTTTTTGTATTGACAACAGCCTTGGAGCACTAATACAGGAATTGTTGTGTCCCTTCTGAGCCTCACCTCAAGGTCATCCCTTGGACAGTACGCAGCAAGGTTCAATGACCAATCTAGGCACATTAACAGCAGAGCAAGAAGCCACCCCAGGGCTGAGTCTAAACTGCAGGGTGGATAGGACCTCTGACTGTCTTCAAGTATTACGAGAAGATTTGGACACATGTAGGGGAATTTGCTGTAACTTTGTTAAAACAGTTGTGTTAAAATTGAGAGTATATTTGGTGTAGATCAAAGTCCTGCATGCCTCGGTAAAACCCACATAGGAGACACTGTCTCCTTCCGATGCTGGTGGTAAGTTAGGCATCTGTCACACCTCAGTTAGCTCAGGGCTGGAATTTCTCTGTTGCAGGAAATGCCGTTGTGGCATTTTATGTAACAGAAATTAGGGGTCAGGGAAACAATTCAAAAAACCCTACATAGTTTCAGAAGATTTCATTGTGGTTTGCTATGCTAACCAAAGCACTTCATTTTGGCCAGCTCAGCTGTTTTCTCATATTGAGTACTGCTGCAAGCGGGGTGTAGGTTAGAAGCTGACTTCAGCTCTGTGTGTCCAGTTCTCTCTCTTCTATATATCAGTGATGCATATCAGGGCCTGGTCAGAAGAAAACTGGCCTGGCATTAAGGAAATGCACCACAGTGAATTCAGACCAGAAAAAGAGGTTAAGGGGAGGAGAATGCTATAGTCTACCTCCCAGACCACTTTGATTTTCCACCTGTCAAAGACAAACATTCAGCAAAGTGAAATATTTTTCTGACAGGGAATTCCCAGCTAGTGGCGTGCAGAAGAGCATGCTGTGGGCTGCTGAGACCAGATTTCAGCAGGTAGGAATTCTCCTCCTGCTCTGTGCCGTCTTGAGAGCAGCAGCCCTAGGCCCCTTTTGCTTTCAGCCAGCCCTGAGGCAGTGCAGTGCTCGTCACACAGGAAGAGCAGAGGCCATGCTTGGCTTCCTGTGCAATAGTCTGTTCTTCTTTTAGCTCCTTTTACTCACCGCTGAATTAGAAAGTTCCCTCCTCTTCCAAGATCAGAGCAGGTGGAACACAAAACTAGTCATTCCCTCTGCCGCACGAGCAAAATCAGTCTACCTCTGTCACAAAAATTATCTGTTCAGTAACATGATAACTACTTATGTTGTCTGGTTTAATTTGCAATTTGGTAGCTCAGGCCAGGTCTTTATGCACTTTAGGCTGACCATAGGACAAGCTGACCTGAGAATATGGTTTCGTATCTCAAAGCAAAGCACAAATACCACCAAATCAAGCACCTGTTTTTTTCAGACCCCCATGAAAACACAGGATTTTTAACATATTGAGACCCATGTACAGCGGTCCAAGTTTGTCCAGGGTGTCCAGACAGGTAACAAGTTTTCTTCAAAACTAGGGATAGGCTTACTCAGGAACATCTGTGCCTGTGGTAGTGCCCATCTTTGCAGTGCTGAAAGAGTTACAAAACTCTGAAGTCAGTCTTGACTGACTCCATGTATATTGGGCCACTTTAAGAAAGGAGGAGTTTGCTGGTTTGGTTGCAATTCATACTACATGACAAAAATCTGCCTGAAAAATTGGCTGTGGTTGAACCCCCTGATACTTAGACAATTAACTGAATGGGTCAGACCCTCAGCTGGTTTAAACTAACATTTCTCCTTCAAGTTGAAGGCAATCAACTTCTGGATCTGATTCATCACAAGGAATCAGGAAGATGAGTTCACAGTCTTTGTCAATACACCTTTCTCCCAACAGACCTCTGAGCACAACTACAAGATATAGACCTATGTTGAAGTTGGACTCATCTACAGCTACATCTAGCTGCAGGTGGCCACAGATGGGTATCATGTCTAACTTCTCATTATAGACAATGGGGACTTAGTCGATGGAGTTCAGTTGATTCATCTGGCTAGATGTATGTATCTCTCTTAGGGTGATATGACTCATGACAAACTCCACTGACGATATTGATTAGTTCATCACTGGCTATAAAAGGAGTTTAGAGATACTGGTTCAGATGTTCACATGTACAGTGTAGGCAGTGGTATAAGTAAGTGAATCGTCCCCAAAGGGACAATTATGATAGCATTGCGGTGTCTCACTGAGCTTTTCCAAGTTCTGTGCAAACTTAAATAATGGTAACATTTGCCTCCAAGAATGTATCCTATGATCAAATATGTAACCTGACTTCTAAAAATACTATAAGTGGTTAGTAAGAATAATATGCATTAAAAGAATAAAAGAAACAGTTTGGAAACCCACCCAGCCCCTCCCCTACAAACTGTCTGGCATTTTTTTTATCTGTGCACTAGAAAAAGTAAGAGGAAGTACTCACAGGGAGATGTAAGCTCCCAGCTCTCTGGCTGCTCCGACATTTGGAAGGCATGCCCCAATACCCACAGGGAGAGTTGGGCACGTATCTCATTTATACAGAAGCACTGTAATCTTATGTAGAAAAAACTGCTTGTTATTTATCTTTCAGAAATACCTTTACTCTGGAAAAATGCCGAAGGCATATTGTGTGGTAGGCATAGAATGAGAATCTCTGCTTTTTGCTCTATGAAAAACACAAAAACACTTGTGGAGTGATAAACAAGATGCAAATATGCACTATTTGTGATGTGTACTGGCAGTGGTGAACCTGGAGCTCCCAGCCCTGTGCTACCTGGGAGCTGCTGCTCTGTGGAAGAGAACTGATGGAAAAGGAAAAATAGTGTAGCAGTAGGCATTGGTTTATAAAGAAATACTGTGTAAGAAAAACAGGCCAAGCTTGGCCAGTCCAAGAGCAGGGAAAATTAGGCATGGAATAGCTCTAAGCATAAGTTGGAAGTTTGAAGGCGGAAGGGGAGACAGCTTTTGAAGGAGATTCATGAAGAATGAACAGAGGAACAATTTTCTTACTGCAACATTTTTAAGTTAAGAACTACCTAAGGTTATGAAGCTTCCTTTTTGGAGTATCTTTGAACTACACAGGGAGCTGAAGTATATAGTTCAAAACCAGTTCTGTACCAGTGATGGAACTGGCTAGGTGATTGGCCCTAAACCATCTGATTTAACAAATTTTATTGCATACTTTTGCATGGCTAATGCATAGCATACTTTTGGAAGAAGAGGAAAGGTAGGATATATATTCCATTGGAATCTCTCTCTTCCTTAGCTTTTAGAATGAAGCTCGTCATCCCCCATAGAACTGAGTTGCCTTGATGCACTCCTATATGGCTCTGCAGTTGACAAAGCCATGGACATGAAGCAGTGTGTCTTCAGTGGGGTAGCTGAGCCTGTGAAAAGGAAATTGACCTCAAATACTTCAGCAGCCAGGGTAAAACTGATGTTAGAGGTTCCTAAAACTAAGTCAGAGCAGTCCCACCACATTGCTCACTTCCAAGAAGGAAAACAAAGCTATACATAACAGTTTTGCTTTGTTATCTTTAGGAAGAGGATACCTGCATTTAAGCTACTGTTAATGAAGGCTGATGGGCTAGAGTTTGTATCTTTTTTCTGGCTAGCACAATTGGTACATTTGAATTAAAGAGCCAGTTCAAATTTTTCAAGGGGAATGAACTCCTCTGATTTGTAAAAACATGTTTTTGAAATGCATTCATGATGCCTGCATAACTCTCTTAATTCAACTATACCATAAATTGAACCTTGCTAAAGTAGTATGGAAGGGAGACGAGACAGCAAAACGTTAGGGAGTGGAAGGATGTTCACATTCTTTTCTTATGATCTTGAATAAAATCAGTTAAGCTTCCTGTACCACAGGTTTCCCAGCTATAAACTGAGGCTAAAATTCATATTTCCTGAAAAGCTGTTGCTAGACATCATTCCAGTGTTTGTAAAATACTAGAGCAAGATGCAGACCATCATCATCTGCTGGTTGTCAGAATATACATGGAGGGAAAAGAAATGCATGAATGTGTTAAAATAGGCTGTAATTTCTTTATGGATGCTTGGGCAAAATTCCAGTTGCTTTAAATCATGTATTTAATTAATACCCATTCCATTCAAGCACTGCATCCCAGCCAGGAGCTGACGTTGTATTTGCTTTGCTATCAACATAATAGGATGGCAGAAGAGAAGGCTTATTTTAAGCTTCTTATAGATATTTATGAAATAAATGTTTCCTGATCCTGCAGGGAAGAGAGGCAAATAAAGCAAGCAAATCATATCTGGAGTAGGACGACACCACCTTGAACAAGCAAGCTCGGTCTCACTGAGACCACTGGCAGGGTCAGAGCTAGATTAACTGGCAGGGTCAGAGCAAACCCACCCGCTGTGAGAGACCACAGATGGAGCTAGACATGTAGGTCTGGAAGCTTGCCTCTGGTCCAGATTGAAAGTGGAGCTGTGGAGGCAGCACACTGCAGAGAACACCCCTGCCCAGCCCCTGCATGGATGCTGGTTACTGCCCTGGTGCCTTTCACGGCCCAGGGACCACGTGGGTTGCAAGACGCTGAACAGCACCAGCCTCTCGGGTGTCTTGGTTCATAGGCATTGTTTCATGTATCTTTGTGCCTCCTGCTTCTGGTCATATTTGAGTTGCTGACAGCACCTATTATCCCCATGGATGGACTGTGATACTGATGGCATCTCAGGGCCATACTTCATCTGGTGGCTGTACATGTCTAAGCTAGTCCCTGTGCCTGCTGTGACATCCAAGACCAGGAGAACAAGCAGGAGGTTCAGAGTCCTGCCCCTTCAGGAACCTATCCTTGCCTCCATGTGCAGTTAGTGGCAAGAAGCTGTTGTGATGCCTACAAGGAGCAGGCACAATATACCATGCCTGACCTGCCCTAGACAATGCTGGAAGTTTGTGGCAACACATGGAGTCAGATGATTGATGTTTGATGATGATGATGATTGATGGAGTCAGATGATCAGTCTTTGATGATTAGCTTTGCTTTTCTTTTGTTGGCACCTATAGTTCCTGCTGACTTCAGCTTTAGCTACACACATGGGTATTTAAGAATCAGGCTTCATATTCCTACAAGTGGATTAAAATGATGTCTAGTAATTTATGCAGGTTATGAGCATACAGCATATGGAGAATGAGTACTCTTTCCATTATTGCAGTCAGACATCCCTATTCTGAGTTTATTAATCAAAAAGAAACTGTATATCAGATTTTCATATTTAAGCCATATAAACAAACTGGGAGTCCAATAATATCCATTTGAAATCTTAAAGTGAGAAAGGTTTATAACAAGGGCTGGTGGGCAGAGCAGCTAAATCAGCTTATAGAAATGAGATAGACAGCAGGGAAAAATAATTGATTCAGTGCCTGCTTGTACATACGACCATTTCTGAGCCAATAAAAAAGAAATAGATTCTGTTGGAGTTCTTGAAATATGTCCTCTAAATTTGATTTCAGTTGACACTAGAAGTTGATGGCGGGGGATATAGAATTGTTGAGTTCCAAGTTTCTGTTTCCACTCTGCATTGGTTGGTCAGTCCATTGGCTGGTTGGTGATCTCTTTCAGTGACATTTTATTTAAAAAAAAAAACAGCACTTTTTTCCAGTGGATAGGAATTCATGTTGTGAAATAGCAACTTTCCTTAATGCCCTAGCAGACACAACATGGATTGGTCTTGAAAATTAAGTGGTAGGGAGGAGAAAATTCTACTATTGGTATTGCACTGGAAATCCCTTGGCCTTCAGGAAATCAGAAGCACCTAATCCATGCCACTGGTCAGTAACTACTACATCATAAAGAAAAAGTTTTTAAAGGGGAAAAAATTAGCCTAGCAAACTCTTAGTTACTTCATCTTCCTTTACACTAGTTTTATACAGAACTAACTCTGTCACCATCTGATTTATTCAGGTCAAAAGGAGAACAGGGCTTTTCTCTGTGCAGTATTTCTAGTACATTTTCATGTCTCAGTTTTGTAATCTTTTTTTTTTTGCTAGACAATATTAAATAACTGTAACACTAAGCTGCTTGTATTAACATCATATATATGACAGTAATGAATTGGACCCTTCACAGAGCTCAAGTTTTCACAGAGGCATAAGCCAAAGCAACAACAGACAAACAAAATGTCCACCCAGATGTTAATGAAACAATACAGTCCTTTTATAGTTTGGTTGAAGACCTAAGGCTGTGTCATTTAAATAAAGGCAGCCATAATAAAGGAAACAGAATTGAAAGCATTAATCCAGCTTTCATAAATAGCTTGTCTATGTTGTAGCGCGTGCAGACTCTGTTAGAAACAGACTGAATTACAGCCCTGACAGTCTCTCTTTGTTTTAACTGGATCAACTCTCTGTTCACTAGATATATTACTGGGTTTATTTTAAAGCCATACTTTTTTTTTTTTTAATCAGGGGCTAAGCTCATGTTTATTTCGAGCTTCAGAAAAGCATCTTTCTTTGCCAGTGAAGAATCTGCGTCAGCTGTGAATGACAAAAAAGGAAAGCTGACTCATGGCAAAAATTTGAAATAAGTCAGTGGGAACATTTGAGAAACAGGAATTAATGCCCTACCATGGAGGGGCATGTGGACTATGGGCCACAAATGGCTAGGGCAAAAGTTTAAGCTTCTCTTTCTCCAGCTAATAAAGAATGGCAGAAATGGAGCTCACTAAAAATTTTCAAGCTCATATTTTGACCTTGAAGCAAGTTTACTTACTTTTTAAGTGAACTAACCTTCCCTTTTCCAGCATGTTTTCTTTGTGGGTGCTTTCAAGCTTTAACTCTTCAGATAATGTAAACTAAAGTGTGCAAAGGATATGCTGGGTGAGAAGCTGTCACTGTTGTGTGGGAACATGTCTTTGTGGTGAGTTTATTGGGACCACTGTGTTTCTCTTTGCTCAGGGAAACCATATGGTGCAGATGACTTCCTCCCTGTGCTCATGTATGTGTTGGCCCGCAGCAACTTGACTGAAGTCCTTCTGAATGTGGAGTATGTGATGGAGCTCATGGACCCTGCTCTGCAGCTAGGGGAAGGTAGAGTACAGTGTTTGCTCCTGGGATATTCACTTTAGAAATCATTATTTACCTTGCTTCAGTGTTTGTGAAAGTGGGGCAGCAAGACTCTGGCTAGGCTTTGTGGATAAGCTTTGGCCAACCTTTTCAAATCTGAGGCTCTAAAATTATTCTCAAACACTTTACCTGCTTTTAGCAGTGCAATACCCTTAGACACCATCTAGAAAGGCAGGTACCCACCATAAATGAGAACTGAGTTGCTGGATTAGTAACCTAAAGAGAGACATCTAGTGTTCCTTGGCCCAAAAGCTGAAAAGTTAAAAGGTCTTTGCCTAAAATTAAACTGCTGCTGCAATCCATTGTGCTGACACTTTTATTGATTCCAATGAGAAAAGAGCACACTTCTTAAACTGCATTGTATGCCTGGGGCCATACAACATTCTCGTGATCACTCTACTCTTAAATTTGAGTGACCCCTTTGACAATGTTTTCTGGCTGAGTATCATAGCAAGGCAGAGAAAGGTAAGTCAGATTAGAGAGGAATATTGGTTTTGCATGTGAATAAAGACCTCTGCTATTAAAGGGATAAACACCTCAGGGAACTGTGGGCCTTTAGTTTCTTAAATACAGCTTGGGAAGCAAGTGCTACTAACAGTGATAGGGTTACACACTCTGAATTAGGAACACAGATAGTTTTTCACCAAGTGGTCACTAAACCAATAAGATGGGTTTTATTCTAGACTTTGTTTTCGTAAGGACTGAAGTTCTAGAAAGGAATTCTGGATGAACAACAGCAGACTAATTTTATTTATATTAAATGGAAGTGTAAGTCTGTAACTAAGAGCTTGTCATCCCAGCACAGCGCAGAGGTGGGCAAAAGCAAGTATTAACAGAATGAGCAGTAGCAACACTGTTAGTGAGGGGTTTCTGCACAGGCTAATTTTCCTGATGAAAAGAATTGTCAGCAGAAAAACCATTAGCCTAAGCACAGCACTTTGCTGACATAATTAATCTGGTTTTGGTGACTACACCGCGCACAGGTTCTTCGTTTCAAAAGGGCACGCTACCAAGCTGGTTACTGAAGTCAGCTGGGTTGGGGAGCTCAGGCTCTCGAAGGCAAAACTGGCTGGAGGGTCTTTTAAGTCAAAGATGCAAAGACTGTGTGAAATGTGTACTCCTATCAAAGGGGAAAATTTTTGTGAGGGAGTTCCAGATCAAACTGGCTAAATAGCCACATCAGAAAGGAGACTGAGGGTAACTGTAGATACAGGGAATGGGAAAAAAAAGAACATCTCAGTGAAGACAGCTCTTAGATTGCAAAGCACAGGGCTAAAATGGGAACTGGCAAGATTCAGCTTGAGTTAGGCCTTTCAGTGTTCAACAGCAAAAGGTGATTCAGGCACAGAAATAAAAGGAAAAGAAAAAAAAAAAGGAAAGCAGAAAGAAAACTGTGTAATTCTGTCGGGTGAATATATAAAATAATTTCAATCTGGCCTCCAAATTAAAAATTTACATTGAATTATTTTATAACAACAGTGATGTTGACTACTGGGGCAAAGGCAAGGACAGATGATGGGAAATGACTGTATGAAAATGAAGATACTGGAAAGTGGAAGAAAAAATAATTCTTAAAGAAGATTTAATGAATTCCTGTTGTGGGGGACTGGGAGATCTTCCTCCCTGGGTTTTGAGGGAGGAGATACATCAGGTCACAGGTCCCATCACGGACACCCCTGATTCTGCCACAGTAGGAGAAATACTGAATGACAGATGAGGGAGGGCAGTAAGTATATTTAAGAGGGGAAAAGTGGTGCTTGCAGGCTTGTTACCCTGTTCTCAGCAGCACTTTGTGGGAGACAGTAAAGTGCCTTCAGTGTATGTAGACCTACAAAGCTATGGGACATTGCTCATTGGATCGACCCAAGTACAGAAAGTCAAATGGCTGTCATCATAGAATCATAGAATGGTTTGGGTTGGAAGGGACCTTAAAGATCTTCTATTTCCAAACCCGCTGCCATGGACAGGGACACCTTCTGCTAGACCAGGTTGCTCAAAGCCCCATCCAACTCAGCCTTGAACACTGCCAGGGAGGGGGCAGCCACAGCTTCTCTGGGCAACCTCTTCCAGTGTCTCACCACCCTCACAGTGAACAACTTCTTCCTAATATCTGAACTAGATCTCTCCTCTTTCAGTTTGAAACCATTACCCCTCATCCTATCACCACACCCCTGATAAAGAGTCCCTCTCCACCTTTCCTGTCAGCCCCCTTTAAGGACTGGAAGGTCGCTATAAGGTCTCCCCGGAGCCTTCTCTTCTCCAGGCTGAACAACCCCAACTCTCTCAGTCTGTCTTCACAGGGGAGCTGCTCCAGCCCCCTGATCATCTTCGTGGCCCTCCTCTGGACCCGCTCGAGCAGGTCCGTGCCTTTCTTGTGCGTGGTCTCTCCTCTGCTACACCAAATTTTAATGCTGCTCTAAAAATACTGCTCCTAAATAAAATGCTGTCTCAGCCACCACTTACGCAACCAGCCGCAGCGACTGTGCAGCTCACCAGGGCCTGAGGAAGGGCTACGGAACCCCAGGAGGGCTGGTGCGAGGCTTGGGTGATGTGAAAGTGCCATCTAGAGGCAACTGCAACTATTACGAAACGTACTGAGACCGGGGAGCTCCGCCCAGCTGACGGGCAACTCTCCTTTCTCCCCGTTTTCCCGGGTGAGAGAAGCAGGACCCG